TAGTAACTTAATATATTCCGTAACTGCAAATAATGCTCCAAATTCCGAATATATTATATTGGAATTTTAGTTAGTTATTTTTATTTTATATCTAATTTACACAGTTAGTCGCGAACAATCCAGAATCAGAGGGGACGTCGAGAATAATAAATGCGAAACCGGCTCATGATAAAATAATACAAGGTTGTCTCGTCGGCTGCGTCACTCCCCAATTGACACTACAATAAGTGTGAGTGAAAGAGTGTTTTCCTGAAAGTGTGAAAGAAACAGAAACAGAATGTGTTGTTTAACCCTCATGCTGTGCATGGGTTGCAAAATTGCATTCAATATATAAACATTTGAAATTTATTTTTATCATTTTATTTTGAGTAGTTTAGAGTTAGATACTAATCTTTGTTTTTGTTTTTGAACAATTAGTTTTTTGTTTAGTTTCTAAGTTCTACAAAAAATGTGCAATATGACATTTTTTAGCACAGAAGGGTTAACGTTTCGAGTCGAGTTTTCGGTTAACGATAATTCGTCCCCATACAAACTCTCTCTTACGACGACCCGAGCGTACTGGTCGACAGAGGAGTGAGCCCGAACAATTCTGCCGCCAACGAGACTACCTTGTATAATTGTACCATGACTCGTCTCAAATCTTAACGAAGATAACACAGTGCGACAGTGATTTGGAACTTTTGAAGAGACCTAGTAGGAATTGTTCATTAGATCGAATATAGTATAAAACCGTGTTTGAAATTTTTCTAACACCCTCAAAATCTTGACTTTATTGAAAAAAACGGGTTTTCGCTACTTTTTTGCTCTTAAAAATTCTAAAGCGCGTAATTTTGAACCGATTTTAAAATTTTTGACGTTTTATAATAGTTAAATGTTGTAGCTTTTGGAAAAAAATAGATCTTTAATTTATTTCAACAAAAAGGATAAAATTTTTACGCAGGTAACTGAAATTTTTGATTTTTTGTCGTGTTTTTCAGACTTTGACGCCATTTTTTCGTTAATGAGTACACAGCTGCAGCTTGAGTACAAAAATACAAACAAATGGTATGACAAAAAAAATACAGCGAGTGCGGGACCGGAAACGGAATTAAATATTAAAGCTGTGAGCGAACGGCGAACAGCGGCCACAATAAATACAATATACTAATAAATAGGTTCTGCCAAGTGGCCGCCCATAAAGAAGCAAAGAAGAGCCAGAGCTCGTATTTTTCTATGGCGCGCCAATTGGATCGCGAGAGCTTGGACTTTGGCTGGCTGATAAACGACGCTAAGCAAATAATATTAATGCCAAGAAATGTATGTGGTGTTTTTTTTTTTTTTTTAAATCGTTTATTAACAAAAAATAACTTAAAACTAAGCTCTAACAATAAGGAGTCTCCTAAGTTCCTGTAACCCTGCGGTAATGCCGCTAGGCTTTGCTTCGCAGGGCCAGGATTGGCGTGCCTAAGCGCCCACTGCTTTTCGTTGTCTAGGCTAGCCTAGCCTCTGCTCGGTTCCTTTCTAGCCGTCTTAGCTCCTTCATCGTTAAGGCGGCAAAGCTGCTCATGCCTTCCCAGAACTGGGCGTCCTCCAGCAACCTCCTTCCAATGAGGTCCACCGTCGATACTTCCCCTAGGAGTCTCCGCCTTGAGGCTGAAAAACGTGGGCAGTCCAGAACCACGTGTTCCGCCGTCTCGTCCACCCCGCATTCCGGGCATCTTGGATCGTCGTCGTGTCCAAATTTGAAGAGATAGCTCCTGAAGCATCCGTGCCGCTGATCACCTGCGTGAGCCAGAAGTTTACCTCCCCGTGACTTCTTTTGAGCCATTTCCTAAGGTCGGGGACTAGTTGGTAGGTCCAGCGTCCCTTGGTCGACTCGTCCCATCGTTGTTGCCACTTCTGTAAGGTCATGACTCTCGAGCACTCTTTTTGCCGGCGGCGTAACGCTGCCGGGGCATGCCCGTTTAGCGCTGCTAGGGCCTGGTGTAAATCTTGCCGCTCCGCCGCGAGCAGGTCGATTGGTACCATGCCCGCGATGACTAGCGCTGCATCCTCCGATATCGTGCGGAAGCCCGAGCACACCCTTAGGGCGCAAAGCCTGAAGGTGCTGGTCAAACCTTTGGTGTACGACCTTTTTTGGCTGCCTCCGCCCACACTGGGGCTGCGTAGAGCATTGTTGCGCTGCAGACGGTCTGAAGCAGCAGTCTCCGACCTTGCTTCGGGCCCCTACAATTGAGCATAATCCTCGATAGTGCTCTGGCGACATTCGCTGCCTTTCGATTTGCTTCTACAAGGTGCTCCCTGAAGCTAAGCCTCGTGTCCAGCGTTACACCCAGATATCTGATGGCCCTGGTTGATGTGACCACATGTCCACCTATGTTGATTGTGGCCGTCTCCACCCGCTTCCTGCTTGAAATCAGGACAGCCTCCGTCTTGTGTTGGGCAAGGTTTAGCCCTGCCTGTTTGAGCCAGCCGATGACCTTCACGATTACAGCATTGCAGAGCTCCTCAGCTTCCTGAATGGTCTTGGCGACGACCACTACCGCGATGTCATCCGCGAAACCGACAAGGTATGTGTATGTGGTGTAAAAGTTTATATTTGTATCCTGGCAGTCCATATCGATAAACAGTAGCAGAATAAAAATGGGAATTTAAAGACACTTTATGGCGTTATGAACGCAACTTAATTATATTACTTAATAATATATTAATAATATATTATTTATTATATATATAATAATAACTTAATAACTTTTTGACGATGCCCTAGTTCCCATCACAGGTTCATTGTCCTTATGCCTGAAAGGTATCACTACCTCTTGAGAAATTTTGTGCAAACTCACGCATCTTGTTCTTTTGTGATTTGGGCATCATAAGAAATATTTACAGCTATAAGTTGGACAGCTCATTTTATGGCAAATGGCTTTGTTTCGGGCTGAAGGACAGGTGCACCAGGTGCGATAAGCTGGCTGGCTGTATGGCTGACTAGCTGGCTGGCAGACAACAAAGCCAGAATTCATGCCCCAATCTCATCATCCTCGCCATAACCATCAGCATCATCCTCATCCTCGCCAGCAACGGAGGGAGCGTTCTCCACCTCCGACGACTGAAGTCCGGCCAATCCAGCCGAGGTTTGTTCGGTAACACCGGCAAGCCCGGGCCCTTGATTGAGCTTGATTTTTCCATCGCAGAGTAGCTCATAAAATTAATTCGCGCTGATCAACAAATCTATACTTTGAGGTATACTATAAATCATAGAAATCTATACTAGATAGAACCTATGATCCGCAAGGTTTAAATCGCTTCAAACATTCCCACCGGCGACATCAACACGGACACTGGGCTGAAGATCGGTGAGTTTTGGGGTCACAATCGCTGAGACTCCATTCGTTGTGATTCCAGCATTGCCTATGCCATTTACGTCCGCTGTTGATTTAAACTGGCGAAGCTGCAGCTAAATTGGTAATCTCGAGGTAATTAAGTTTACCTAAGATCCGCAACTGAGAAGCACTCGGCAGGGCACAAACTTCCATCAGGATATTGGCATTGGAGAGAACAAGGGACATTACTGTAGGAGACGAAGAATGAGTGACCGCAGAACTGCTAGAGGGAACCTCAAACGTTTAGCTTGCCCTTAAATAACGGGAAGGACGGAATCCGAAAATTCAAAAAGCTGTGGTGCCTTCGCCCGCACATACTGGAATTCAGTAAGTTGCAGACTCGAATGGTCTTACCGGCCCTCGGGGGGTAATCTGAAGAACCCAGGGCAGGATTGGATCAAGTTGGATGCATCGCCACATAATAGGCATACATAAGAAGGCGCCCTAGTTATAACAAACGACGATAGAGTGTGGTTACTATGGCTACTAATTTCCAACTGAATGGCCGCCTCCCTTGGAGGTATCGAGCTTTTTGGTTTCCAAAATCTGGCACCTCTGTTTGAGGACTTCTTCTGGACTCCCACGTCGGAATGCTGTCCATCGTCACCGGATTCACTTGCATCTCGTTCCATTTATCCTGCGTGGCCGGTGCCAGCTTCTATAGCAGCCCTGGGCGACGACGCATACTGCAATTTGCTGAGTGGTGCCCGTGGTAAAGAGAGCCACACAAAGCCAAACCAGTTATTTGCTGTCAAATCCAGTAGGCGCTGGAGGTTCTCAACCCGACCAAATAAATAAATTTCAGTTTTCGCGCGGAGATCAAAGATTGTTACAGATGCAATGTTATTTCAATGTTTATATTTCACAGCTTTAAATGTTTTAACGAGAAAACTAATTTTTTTTTCTGCACACGATCACGTTGGGGTCACCAATGTAGTTGTACGGTAATTTTCGTTGTCGTAATGTTCATTACGTTGTTAGTGCATACCACAACCCTACAATCGATACCTGCTTGATGTCTATCGATCTCGAGACCCCGGTCCCTTTGGAAAGCGGGACATCTCTAAGCTTCTTCCTTACGACTTCTAAGCTTCTTCCAATTATTACCCATTACACACACATTTTTTAAAACACGTTTTGTTATATTGCCAACATTGTTTGATCTCGAAAATCAATTCAAATTAAATTCAGTGACATACTTGAAACCAACCCTGTGTTTTTATAAAACGGCAACAGCAAAGTCCCTATAGCAGACTTCTGCTAATCATTGACTCCCGTATTCCATCGGCGCTGTCACAACATTTTTGGTGGCCCATGAGGGGAACCTGTTGTTAAATGTGCCAATGAATGGAATTTGAATTGATTTGGAACAAACAATTGGGCTCAAATTAATCTGAAACAAACGGCTATTAACCTATTCCACGTGGAACCACGCTTTCTACAAATAACGGACCGAAGAACAAGGGATCGCTGCGCGACGAATAACGGACAAAGGAAGGAGAGATTGCTGCGAGACGAATACCGGACCAAAGGAACGACGAATTGAAACTGGAAACTGCTACACAGACTGACTGGAAGCCGGTGAGTGTTTGTATGTGAGGGCTGTGATTTCAAGCGTGCTGTTGTAAATTCAATAAAACTATGGGTATCGACGATGAAAAGACAGGCACACAAGCCAATCCTTCCCCATCCGACCAGTTTGCTGGTTTGCACGCGAGACAGAAGGATTTATGGAACAGGTTGACGCAACTCGAGCGTAACTTCAAGAAGGATAGCCAATCCCGAAAATCCAAACATTATTTTCTTCAGCGCCTTAGCACGTTAAAGGATTTATCCACCCTGTTTGATGCGAATCACCAACAATTGGTCGATCAGCTGTGTCCCAGTCAACATGTATATTTCTCAGACAACCTATACGAGCGATTTGGTGAAAAGCACCAGCACATCTTCTGCAACATCTCGGAAGAATACGACAACAAGTTCTCAGTGACAGCCCAAGGTTCCCCACCAATCGAGTCCGTCACTCCAATTTTATCATCCAACATTCCGCTTCCGAAGCTTCCAGTTCCACGCTTTTCGGGAAGCTTTACGGATTGGCCCTCGTTTTACGATGGTTTCCTACAACTCATCCATGACAACAACACTGTCTCTAACATCCAGAACATCAGTCACATGGCATTAACGGATGCTGGGTATACGGTAGCCTGGGATCTCCTCGTCAAGCGCTACAACAATCCACGTCTCCACTTTATGCACACCATGGCAGCACTGTATGGGCTTGAGTCGGTTCCCAAGGAAGCTTCAGAAGGTATCAGGCGCGTGCTAACCCTGGCTTATGTTTGCATTAGTGATCTTCGACGTTTAAAAATAAACATTGATTCCTGCGATCACTGGCTAGTGCATCATCTGTTAACCAAACTACCAAGCAGCACTACGCAAGCGTGGGAGCACTCATTGGGGAGCTCCACCAAGATTCCAACCTTTTCGATGTTGGAGACTTTCCTGCTGGAGCGCTTAGTTAGCATCGACCTAATCGAAAATCGAAATCAACCACTTGGAACTCGTTCAGCACCAGGACAATCTTCCCATCCACGTGCGCCTAACCGATCCAACTTCAATTCCACTAACCGCCACAGTTTTCATGTGACTACGGAAATGGGAGCACCCCAGTGCACTCTCTGCCAAAGAAACCATGTTCTCCGGAGATGCCCCAGTTTTCTCGCGAAGGATTGCTTTGCTCGTAAGACGATCGTCGATCGCATAAAAGCATGCCTCAATTGTCTCAGCGCAGGCCACGCGCTAAGTCACTGCGGCAGCACTCGCAATTGCTTACAGTGCGGCCAACGCCACCATACGCTACTGCATTTTCCGAACGTAGCAACCCAGCCTACCAACTCTGCCCTATCGCGACAGCCAACGAACGGTGTCCATAGCGCGCAGGGCACCCAACAGAGCGTAGCATCCCGCTCATCTGTTTTGTCTCAACAGCACAGCCTAGCCCCCGGCTTAACTGCTTCGAACGAGACGCAACTCCTCAGCGCAGTTGCCACCTATCAAAATCCATCCACCACGATTCTCGCCACGGCCCTAATCCGAATTGTCAACGACCAAACGGGACAATCTGTTTTAGCCAGAGCGTTGATTGACCATGGCTCAAAAGGAACACTTATCACCGAAAGCTTAGTACAGACGCTGGGTCTCTCACGCACCCCTATATCTGAGGAAATAACAGGGATCGGCGACTCCTCTCACAATCGTTGTCGACATAGTACCAATTTTGTCCTAAGCTCGATTTCAGGTTCCCAGTTCACATCGTTTGTATTCACTGCATTTATTCTCCGTACACTTACAGGGCACCTTCCAAAATCGGATGTCGACCCTCGCTCATTCCAACACCTTAAAGGATTGCAACTCGCCGATCCCAATTTTGCCCGCTCCGGTCGTATTGACGTGCTTGTGGGCGTTGATCTTATTCCACAATTGATGTTCCCAGAAATTCGACGAGGAACTCATGAGGAACCCATCGCACAAAACACTGTTCTTGGTTGGATTGTTTTTGGACCAGTGAGGAAATCCATGACACACTCCATCACTGTCCGTTGTAACACCACGACGCTTGATCATCTGGTGCAAAGGTTCTTCGAACTAGATAGCGTGCCGTCTGAACGCCAACTCACCACAGAGGAACGATGGTGTGAAAAACACTTTCGTCAAACCCATGTTCGACAGCCCAACGGGAAATACATGGTTCGCTTACCACTGAAAACCTTGTTCGACCCGTCACAAGTTCTAGGCCGATCAAAACATATAGCCTTAAATCGTTTCTACACACTAGAGCGAAAATTGCAGCAGCGCGATAAGCTTCATCAACAATATCTCCAAGCAATCGAGGAATATTTTGACTTGCAGCAAATACAAGAAGTCACTACAAGCGAAGACAGTCACTCTCATATCAACACAAATGGGAAGCTCGGCGTCTTCTGCAGCACGATTCCACACCATGCAGTCCTGAAGGAGGACAGCCTGACGACTAAACTCAGGGTAGTCTACGACGCCTCTTGTAAGAGCTCCAACGGGAAATCACTGAATGACATTTTATGTACTGACCCAGCTCTACAGAACGATTTGGAAGGAGTGATACTAAATTGGCGTTGTTATCGCTATGTTTTCGTGGCGGACATCCAAAGGATGTACCGATGTATCGAAATGCATCCAGAGGACTCTCAATTCCAGCGCATTTGGTGGCGTGACAAAACCGGAGAGTTAAAAGAGTTCCGTCTCACCACAGTTACCTTCGGAACAGCATCAGCGCCATACACAGCGATTCGGGTGATCCACCAAATAGCTCAGGACGAACGAGAAAATTATCCGCTAGCAGAAAAGGTACTGCAAAGGGAGATTTATGTTGATGACGTACAAAGCGGCCATGAGACCACGGACGGTGCCATTCGAGTGCGAAACGAGGTCATAGCAGCCCTCCGCTCGGCTGGTATGCATCTTCGAAAATGGGCAGCGAACCACCCGGCGTTGCTTAGCGATATTCCTAAAGTAGACCTCTGCAACCACTCAATCTTCGAAATGGACAATAAAGACAGCATTAAAACGCTTGGACTGTACTGGCAGCCAAACCCGGACGTCTACGGATTCAAAATCCATTTCTCGATCAATCCCACACTTTCGAAAAGGGCTCTTTTATCAACAGTGGCGCGGCTCTTCGATCCATTAGCTTCCGTATGCAGCAAACTGATGGCACTTACCGTGCACTCGACTGGGACGACATGCTACCAGAGTCTTTGGCAGCGCGTTGGCAGCGATATCTCGAACATCTTCCAGAAGTTCAACACATTCGCATACCACGCTGGTTCGGTTGCGATTTCAGCAACGTGATATCTCTTCAATTGCACATGTTCTCCGATGGGTCGTCCCTCGCGTATGCAGCGTGTGCCTACCTTCGAGTACTCGACACTGCTCGACACTGCTCGCACTAGGGTTACACCAACAAAGCCTCTCACCATACCGCGAGTGGAGCTTTCCGGAGCAGTTCTAGCTACCAAACTCGCCACATGGATCCAGCAGCAACTTCACGTGCCTCAGATGCGGGTCACAGTGTACTACTGGTCAGACGCCAAGATCGTGCTTCACTGGATATATGGAGATCCATGCAGGTGGAAGACTTTTGTAGCCAATCGAATTGGCAGCATCCAAGAGGTCAGCTCTGCTTCACAGTGGGGTCATGTGTCTACGCAGGACAACCCTGCGGATTGTGCAACGCGCGGTTTAACCCCACTACAGCTCGCGCAGGATAAGCTCTGGTGGAGCGGCCCAGACTGGTTGCAGGAACCCGATCATTGGTCCAAGGTAACTCTTACTTCTCCAGATCCGAGCACAATCTGCGAGGAACAGGCAGCAAAAGTTATCCACGCTCACACATGTGCATCCACTGATTCCTTTGTTGAGTCATTTTCGTCATACAGTCGACTTGTATTTTCCACAGCATTCATTAATCGCTTTATCCATAATACTCGCTGCAAAAGGGAGGCTCGGCTTTCCGTACCAATTAGCGTAAAGGAGTTTTCCAAGGCAATGTATACTCTGGTTCGCGTTGTCCAACAGGAAGCATTCTCTCACGAACTGTCCAAGTTGCGAGCAAACAAATCGCTCTCAAAATCTAACAAGCTTAGCCAACTGTCGCCATTCATAGATGCCCAAGGGATCCTCAGAGTGCGGGGCAGACTTCGAAATGCTTTGCAGCTCACCACTCAACAACGCACGCCCATCATCCTACCGAAGTCACATCATTTTACGGACCTCGTCATAAAAAACGCCCATCTGAACACCATGCATGGGGGAGTGCAACTGACCCGTGCGATCATCCATCAGCAGTTTTGGATCATTAATGGCAAACAAGCGGTAAAAAGAGTTCTCCGACAGTGTGTGGCTTGCTTCCAGCATCGCCCTAAACCCTCTCGACAATTAATGGGTGATCTTCCATACCATCGTGTTAATCCGCCGAAAAGAGCGTTCGAAGCTACAGGTGTGGATTACACAGGATCTATCGATGTCAAGGCCTCGAGGTTCAGAGGACACACTACATACAAGGCCTATATTACAGTATTCATTTGCCTCGCCAGTAAAGGTATCCATTTGGAGCTGGTGACAGGACTCACAGCACAACATTTTCTCTGGGCTCTCCAACGGTTCATTGGACGCCGCGGTTTTGTGCGGCACATGTACAGTGACTGCGGCACAAATTTTATAGCAGCAGATAAATCCCTACAGTTGTGGTCTAACGAGTTCCGCCAGGAAATCAACCAGACAGTCGTCCCAGAACTCACAAAGCGCTATATTCAGTGGGACTTTAACCCCCCACACAGCCCAAACTTCGGAGGACTTTGGGAGGCTAACGTCAAAGCCGTAAAGTCTCATCTTCATCGTTCCTTCAAAGGATACCCAATGACTTATGACTTATTATTATCCGTTCTTATCCAGATCAAGGCCTGTCCTAACTCTCGGCCATTATGCCCGTTAACCGCGGATATTAATGATCTGCAAGTAGTGACTCCAGCTCATTTTCTCATCGGAGACTCCATGCAATCGCTTCCTACCCCCAGTGACAAGGACAAGTCGCTCAACACACAGTTCATGGAGGGACAACGGATCCTACGCCAGTTCTGGAAAAGGTGGAGCTCAGATTGGTTGTCTCACCTTCAGGCACGCCCTAAGTGGAGTTAAGAGGAAGAAAACCTACAGGTCAATGACCTAGTTATTATCAAGGACGACAGGAGAGGTCCAACCGATTGGAAACTAGGTCGTGTTATAGAATTACACCCTGGAGCCGATGGGATGGTCCAACAATCTATACAGGTGCAACAATCTATACGAGTTGCAACAATCTATACAGGTTCGGGTACATATAAGCGATCAGTATCCAAGATCTGCAGATTACCCATCCCGAATTACACGGAAGCTAAAGTCGAGGAAGCTAATCTTGAACAATAGTGATACACGCATTTGATCTCACATCCATACCACAGCAAACATTTCACCTGTTTCTTTCAGTTACCATTAGAAGGATGTCTTAATGCTGGACCCAGCATTGCGGGGCGGCATGTACGGTCATTTTCGTTGTCGTAATGTTCATTACGTAATGTTAGTGCATACCACAACCCTACAATCGATACCTGCTTGATGTCTATCGATCTCGAGACCCCGGTCCCTTTGGAAAGCGGGACATCTCTAAGCTTCTTCCTTACGACTTCTAAGCTTCTTCCAATTATTACCCATTACACACACATTTTTTAAAACACGTTTTGTTATATTGCCAACATTGTTTGATATCGAAAATCAATTCAAATTAAATTCAGTGACATACTTGAAACCAACCCTGTGTTTTTATAAAACGGCAACAGCAAAGTCCCCATAGCAGACTTCTGCTAATCATTGACTCCCGTATTCCATCGGCGCAGTCACAACAGTAGTAACTTAATACATTCCGTAACTGCAAATAATGCTCCAAGTTCCGAATATATTATATTGGAATTTTAGTTAGTTATTTTTATTTTATATCTAATTTACACAGTTAGTCGCGAACAATCCAGAATCAGAGGGGACGTCGAGAATAATAAATGCGAAACCGGCTCATGATAAAATAATACAAGGTTGTCTCGTCGGCTGCGTCACTCCCCAATTGACACTACAATAAGTGTGAGTGAAAGAGTGTTTTCCTGAAAGTGTGAAAGAAACAGAAACAGAATGTGTTGTTTAACCCTCATGCTTGCATGGGTTGCAAAATTGCATTCAATATATAAACATTTGAAATTTATTTTTATCATTTTATTTTGAGTAGTTTAGAGTTAGATACTAATCTTTGTTTTTGTTTTTGAACAATTAGTTTTTTGTTTAGTTTCTAAGTTCTACAAAAAATGTGCAATATGACATTTTTTAGCACAGAAGGGTTAACGTTTCGAGTCGAGTTTTCGGTTAACGATAATTCGTCCCCATACAAACTCTCTCTTACGACGACCCGAGCGTACTGGTCGACAGAGGAGTGAGCCCGAACAATTCTGCCGCCAACGAGACTACCTTGTATAATTGTACCATGACTCGTCTCAAATCTTAACGAAGATAACACAGTGAATTGTTCATTAGATCGATTATAGTATAAAACCGTATTTGAAATTTTTCTAACACCCTCAAAATCTTGACTTATTTGAAAAAAACGGGTTTTCGCTACTTTTTTGCTCTTAAAAATTCTAAAGCGCGTAATTTTAAACCGATTTTAAAATTTGACGTTTTATAATAGTTAAATGTTCTAGCTTTTGGAAAAAAAATAGATCTTTAATTTATTTCAACAAAAAGGATAAAATTTTTACGCCCGAAACTGACATTTTTGATTTTTTGTCGTGTTTTTCAGACTTTGACGCCATTTTTTCGTTAATGAGTACACAGCTGCAGCTTGAGTACAAAAATACAAACAAATGGTATGACAAAAAAAATACAGCGAGTGCGGGACCGGAAACGGAATTAAATATTAAAGCTGCGAGCGAACGGCGAACAGCGGCCACAATAAATACAATATACTAATAAATAGGTTCTGCCAAGTGGCCGCCCATAAAGAAGCAAAGAAGAGCCAGAGCTCGTATTTTTCTATGGCGCGCCAATTGGATCGCGAGAGCTTGGACTCTGGCTGGCTGATAAACGACGCTAAGCAAATAATATTAATGCCAAATGTATGTGGTGTAAAAGTTTATATTTGTATCCTGGCAGTCCATATCGATAAACAGTAGCAGAATAAAAATGGGAATTTAAAGACACTTTATGGCGTTATGAACGCAACTTAAACCATTCTGTATCAAATTTATATATTTTTTACGATGCCCTAGTTCCCATCACAGGTTCATTGTCCTTATGCCTGAAAGGTATCACTACCTCTTGAGAAATTTTGTGCAAACTCACGCATCTTGTTCTTTTGTGATTTGGGCATCATAAGAAATATTTACAGCTATAAGTTGGCCAGCTCATTTTATGGCAAATGGCTTTGTTTCGGGCTCAACCACACTGTCTGTTGACTGCTTGAATTAATGAAATTGACTGGCAACACGTCGTTGCCCAGGGGGAATGTCCTTTTCTGGCAGCAGGTGGTGGGAGCTTTGTGAAGGACAGGTGCACCAGGTGCGATAAGCTGGCTGGCTGTATGGCTGACTAGCTGGCTGGCAGACAACAAAGCCAGAATTCAAACTCTTTTGAATTGCTTATGGACAGGCAAATCAAATTGGAAAACAGGCAAAGGACTGGCTTTTGAAAATTGTTGCAATCCAAGCGCGCCACATGCTTAAGGAACTGTTGAGAGACACAAATAGCAATGGCAACTTGGCCAAATGGTGCATGCCACACACTAATGCACTCTCTCGTCGCCGCCCTGTTCAGTTCTGTTCTGTATACATGTTGCCTGTGACAACGACATTGCAGCTTTGGCCATCGGAGCATGTCGAGCAACACCAATCTGGCCAAGGGAATGGAGGATGCCCTATTTGCAGCCCCAATCTCATCATCCTCGCCATAATCATCAGCATCATCCTCATCCTCGCCAGCAACGGAGGGAGCGTTCTCCACCTCCGACGACTGAAGTCCGGCCAATCCAGCCGAGGTATGTTCGGTAACACCGGTAAGCTCGGGCCCAGCTTGATTTTTAAAAAAAAATAAAATTAATTCGCGCTGATCAACAAATCTATACATTGAGGTATACTAGAAATCATAGAAATCTATACTAGATAGAACCTATGTTCCGCAAGGTTTAAATCGCTTCAAACATTCCCACCGGCGACATCAACACGGACACTGGGCTGAAGATCGGTGAGTTTTGGGGTCACAATCGCTGAGACTCCATTCGTTGTGATTGCAGCATTGCCTATGCCATTTACGTCCACTATTGATTTAAACTGGCGAAGCTGCAGCTAAATTGGTAATCTCGAGGTAAATAAGTTTACCTGAGATCCGCAACTGAGAAGCACTCGGCAGGGCACAAACTTCCATCAGGATATTGGCATTGGAGAGAACAAGGGACATTACTGTAGGAGACGAAGAATGCGTGACCGCAGAACAGCTGGAGGGAACCTCAAACGTTTTAGCTTGCCCTTAAATAACGGGAGGGACGGAATCCGAAAATTCAAAAAGCTGTGGTGCCTTCGCCCGCACATACTGCAATTCAGTAAGTTGCAGACTCGAATGGTCTTACCGGCCCTCGGGGGGTAATCTGAAGAACCCAGGGCAGGATTGGATCAAGTTGGATGCATCGCCACATAATAGGCATACATAAGAAGGCGCCCTAGTTATAACAAACGACGATAGAGTGTGGTTACTATGGCTACTAATTTCCAACTGAATGGCCGCCTCCCTTGGAGGTATCGAGCTTTTTGCTTTCCAAAATCTGGCACCTCTGTTTGAGGACTTCTTCTGGACTCCCACGTCGGAATGCTGTCCATCGTCACCGGATTCACTTGCATCTCGTTCCATTTATCCTGCGTGGCCGGTGCCAGCTTCTATACCAGCCCTGGGCGACGACGCATACTGCAATTTGCTGAGTGGTGGCCGTGGTAAAGAGAGCCACACAAAGCCAAACCAGTTATTTGCTGTCAAATCCAGTAGGCGCTGGAAGTTCTCAACCCGACCAAATAAATAAATATCAGTTTTCGCGCGCAGATCAAAGATTATATTCAATGTTATTTCAATGTTTATATTTCACAGCTTTAAATGTTTTAACGAAAAAACTAATTTGTTTTTCTGCACAAATTTAAAATTAATATATTATATTGGGAATTTTAGCTAGTTATTTTTATTTTATATCTAATTTACACAGTTAGTCGCGAACAATCCAGAATCAGAGGGGACGTCGAGAATAATAAATGCGAAACCGGCTCATGATAAAATAATACAAGGTTGTCTCGTCGGCTGCGTCACTCCCCAATTGACACTACAATAAGTGTGAGTGAAAGAGTGTTTTCCTGAAAGTGTGAAAGAAACAGAAACAGAATGTGTTGTTTAACCCTTATGCTGTGCATGGGTTGCAAAATTGCATTCAATATATAAACATTTGAAATTTATTTTTATCATTTTATTTTGAGTAGTTTGGGTGTTAGATTGATTGAGGGTGAGGGTGTTAGAAAAATTTCAATTACGGTTTTATACTATATTCGACCTACTGAACAATTCCTACAAGGTCTCTTTAAAAGTTCCTTCAATTTTTTTATTTTTGTCGCACTGTGTAAGCGGAGCGACCAAGAACGAAACAAGACATCATAAATGGTTTGTCTGTTACGTTTCACATGCCTGCTTTAAGTTTTGCGAAATATAAGCGGCCGACAGCTACCACAGCACACATACCAAACAAAATAACTTCATACGGAACCGAGATGTGCGGTCTCCATATAAACCAAAAGAACGGACGAAAAGCAACAAAAACACCAAATAAAATTCGAAATACTGTGCGAGATGCAATACTGTGCAATACTTATTTGCAAATGCAAATATTTGCAATGTACTGTACTTTGTGCTTTGAAACTAAACTTCTACCTCTTTTTATGAACTAAACACAAACAAGCAGCTCGCGCTAGAATATGATAAAAGCGAAATACCTATCGCTATTGGATAAAACAGAAAACAAAAACACAAAATCAAAATCAACTTCAAAATCAAAAAATCCCGCCACAAAAAAGCTTTCACGATACCAAAATATT